AACAAGAAAAGAACAAAAACACATCGTAAACCTAACTCGAGACAGGAAACGGCCGTTGAGTTTTGGTGCGAGTACAATCAGGAAGACGTTAGAACTGCCAGGGCCATAGCGCTCGCGTTACTTACTGGGAAGCCACGAAAAAGGGAGAATTTCGACGACAATAGACTACCCGGAAGACTTAAAAAGAAGGGCGCCTACGAATTTATTGAGCACGGGGACTGCCTTTGAAGATTAAATGAGCAACATGATTAAAATTCCTTACAACAGTCCACCTCCTCCAATTCTTCAAATGGAATGTCCTTGTCATCGATATCGGCTTTATTTTGGTGAGTTCGTTCGTGGGACGAATTTCGCGTATGTCTGCGTGGCGATCTCTGCAAACAGGCACGTTAAAAACTTCCACTTGATGGTTCTTAGATAGCTAGGATTACTAAGAAGAGCCATCTAGTTTGTAAAAAGTGGGTGCGGAGCGTTCCTTCCCAGTAGCGGACCGAAGCAGGCGTTAGAAGCGAGGCCCACATCACCCAACATGATAGCGGAGCTGCGCGTCACCTCTATCTCCCAACTATTACCCTTCTTCAATTCGTGCTATGATATCGCGACTGACAAGGGAATGGTTTGAACTTCCCATGGAACTGAATGGAGACCTAGGTACATCGATAGAGTCTCGAATGCTGATTACGAATATGCAGATTAAAAGTGCTACGGGGACCTCCCAGACGAGTTCTGGGCGGTCAAAGTTTGCGAAAACTCGGTTTTGTCTCGTAAGCGCTGCTGATCGGTCATTGGCAGTGCCACCGTGGCCTAGTGGTAACGGTCTCGCTTCAAAGCCAAATGCTCGTGGGTTTGCATCCCGTTGGCGCGAAAGTTTTTGCTTCGTCTCCTATAAGAGCTTTACTCTAATTTTCGAAATTCTTCCGAGTTTACGACCCAGCAGAGCAAGTAGATCAAGTAGATCAAGTATATGACGTACTCGATCGAGTATGGATTGGTCACTATCTGCCCTCTCTGAACTCATTACCCATCCGACAATTCGAAGTTTTGGCCAGAAACTCATTCCTGGGGGTATTTTGACCCCTGAAAACGAATATCATATTCGTTTGGCGAGAAAACGCTTGTAGCCTTTCACGTTGTTGTGGTCATCAACTGAACGAGGGAACCGATCGTTTTCGCGTCAAACGGATGTGATATTCGTGCTCAGGGGGTCAAAATACCCCAGAAACGAGTTTCTGGCCAAAACTTCGGCTTGTCGGATGGGTAACGAGTTCAGAGGACAGATAGTGATCAATCAATACTAGATCGACTGCGTCATATACTTGACCTATTGATATACTTGCTCTGCTGGGCCGTAAACACGGAAGAATTTCGAAAATTAGAGTAAAAGCTTTTATAGGAGACGAAGCAAAAATTTTCGCGCCAACGGGATGCAAACCCACGAGCGTTTGGCTTTGAAGCGAGACCATTACCATCAGGCCACGGTGGCACTGCGGAATGACCGATCAGCAGCGCTTACGAATTTCCGCAAACTTTGACCGCCCAGAACTCGTCTGGGAGGTCCCCGTAGCACTTTTAATCTGCATATTCGTAATCAGCATTCGAGGCTCTATCGATGTACCTAGGTCTCCATTCAAAGTTCCATGGGAAGTTCAAACCATTTCCTTGTGAGAAGCAACGTTGCACAGGGCTGTGGAAGGGTATATAGCCCGAAGATTTGCCACATCGATTTTTGAAAGGTTTCGTACAAGGCGAATAATGAACCACATCCGATGCCCCTACATACTCTTTTCCAATAAAAAATCAAATGTAAAACGATAAGGCACGAAAGGTACCTCACGAGACGAGCGACTCCTAGAACTTTTCCGACGTTCATCATCGCTATGCTGCTTGCTTGGTCGGTATGTATCGCGAAGACGTCGACCACGAAAAGCTTCTCGACGAGGATAAGGACGAAATCTATCGAGACGGTACTGCAAAAGAGTAAATCATAATCTTCTTGGAAAACAACCACTGTTCAGGCACATCATTGGTTGGGGATTTGGTCTAGTCCGTACGACCCCCCCCTTCGGCCCTCTGTCCCTCCTCATCGAATCGAGCCGTCGAGCAGGGAGGGAGGGGGTAAATTAAATAGCACATGTGAAACCCCTTTACAGCAGTTCTCATATTTCCCCAACTTCCTGCCACTTTTTCCAAAATTTCCCAAAAACTCCCTTAC